ATTTTTACATTGGAATCTATAGGAATTGACTTGAGTGGCCATTAGAGCAACTGCAGTTTTTGACACTCGTGCGCTTTGCTTTTCAGCCATGGAGGTTACTGCTCGTCAAAAAACACCAGTAGAACGTCACACCCGTCCTGCCTGTATGCTGAGATGTCCCTCACCTCATTTGTCTCTGTCTCTCCAGGGTGGTCCCATCCAAAACATTGAGTCGCAGCGCTGTCTGGAGCTGGTGGAGAGCCGGCAGTCAGAGTTCAGTTTCCAGCTGGCAATTCAGGACTGCACGGATCAGAAATGGACCATCACCAACATACTGACTGTCCTGCCACAGTGAACGTAGTGACACCAGTCAGACATCAGGAGACCTTTCACGTGATGGACTGGTATAACTGAGGAAGTCTGCCACTTCACACCCAAAAACCAAACTGACCCAAAGCCAGGATGGACCATCATAGAGGTCTGGTGCACATAAAATGACAGTCCAGTTAGAGATGGACTAACACGCTGACCTCAGCATCAAACTAAGCTCTCAAAAAATTAGTTTCAGTACTGGACTTATTTTTAAGGAGAATCTGCAAAGAAGCAGATGTGCTTCAATCAGACACGGACCATTAGTAACCTAATAACCATTTTATACCAATGACCTGGGAGAAGAGACTCTCACAGATGGAGCCGGAGCTCTTAAAACTCCCCACTCTGCGATGGAAATGAGAAATACAGCCACTTGTTCCGGGAGACAGGCTCATGAAATCATGTAAGCAGTCTGGTTATTGCAGGAGCGGGCCTGTGATGTATTCTGGCTCCCAGTAGGTAGTTTAAGTTCAGGCCTGAGCTGCCACAGCCTCATCACACAATCTCAAAGCAAATTGAGTGAGCGCGGTTCAATATGTTTGCGTGCAGACGGACAGATGTGAGGCGAGCGTGTTGTTGTTGCAAAGCGGCCGGCGTGTTGCTCACGTTTGATTTTTAGGGCAGGTTTTAAATCGTTAGCATCACCGCTCGACTGGAGCGGAGCGACCGAGCAGGTGCTGCAGATTTCCTGATGTCACTAAAAAGGAGCTGGTCTAATGAAGAATACCACAGAGTGATTTAAACTGGCACTGTGATAGAAACACCGTCACTCAGGGGTTTCAGAGTGTGGGATTAAATGGTTTACAGACAGAACCGCCAATCACTCTGGCGTGTGCACACTTATAAACAGAAATCTGGAAACACCTGCCTACAGATGTCGTGTTGGTTGCCCACAGGTGGCTGTGTATTAGATGCTTTGCTTTGACTTTATAGATACCTGCATTATCCCTCAGCATATGGAAAAAGTGGGAATGATGTGCACATTTGCCCTTTCAGAACCAGACTTTTTGTTAATATGTTGGAGGTTTGTTATAAATCAGCCCTGCTCACGTTAGCCCAGCTCGGTGTCTGACTACAGTTTTCATCCTCACATTGTCTGGCTGCATCTGTGCTGTCTGTAAATTACTAACTGCTCCCATCAACTTTTTCTCATTGACCTTATAAAGGATGCCTCTCCAACGCGTTTGAAGAGAGTAATCACACAATGAAACCTTAGAGCAGCAGAAGACGTGGCCGCAGCACTCTCCTCGACCGCTCCGGCTTTTAAGAGTCGGGTCTTACAGCAGAGACGCAGTGATGAGAGTGCTTAGTCAATCATGGTGACTGCTGGGGTCACTACAGGTCAAAGTCACACCTAAACTAATTTGTTGAGGTGGCTAAATATTCAGAAGAAATAAAAACCACAGAACGTGTAATAAACCTGGTTTCAGGTCCGTAGTTTATCATAGCATGTCGGCAATACTCCTACACAGTCCTCAGAAGATGTCCAATCAAGACAAATAATTGAAAATGCCTGCGTAGGTGTAGCATAAAGGTGCAGAACCTCAGATGTTTATTATCCTATTTCAGACACTTCCTCCTTTTTCAATTTTAAACTTTTCAACAAGAAACGCGGCGTTCTTTTCCCTGGATTTAGAGGTCACTGCTGCCCGCTCGTTTTCTGCCACGTGAATGAAAATATAACCTTGGATGGTTGTTCATCCAGAATACACAGCAAAAAGTATGAAAAGATCACAGTAGAATACAGATATTTGGAGTTTTATGAATTTACAAATCCAGCTGTGGTTGTTTTCATCCAGTCGTCACAGGTCTGAATTTCAGGCTCATTTCTTTGAGCTGTTCTTTTTTTCAGGGTGAATCGCTGCATTTCAATGACTTAAAAGATAAGAACTGGGTGCACAAGTTTAAACTTATTTTGGATTTTCTATAATCGACACATGGTCAGAAGTCTACATAAAGGCTAAGGCCCATTAACTTGGTGATTATGATTGATTAAAACTGGTAGTTTCTTTGTATCATTACAAAGGACTGCACTCGCCCATACGCAATGGGACGGTCCAGGGAAGAATTTGTGAAAATGCAGATTTACATAACTTGGGAGAGTCTCTTGGAGCCATTTCTAAACATCTGTAGATTCCAAGATCATCAGTTCAAACAATTGTATAAATTATCCAGATGTGTCACCACTTTGCAGACGTCTGAAAGAAGACCCAAACTGTCGCTCTCATGTCAGACTCAGCTGGTTAGGAATCCAAAATAAATTCAAACTTGTGCACCCATTTCATGCTTTGCATCAAAGAAGATTACCATACAGCCACCCCACTGTAAAAAAAACATCCCACCCCAAATTAGCCTGACATCCATGGCTGTGATGAGTGGATGCAAACTTCTCGCCACAGCTCTGTTTTTCTCAATTTTGAATGCTGTTGGCCGAGGCTGGGAAATATGGACCAGACTGATGCTTGTAGGCTGGATATACAGTAAAATATCATAGGTTACACTTAAACAGCTGTTTTTTAGTCAAGAGCGACTGCTGTGGATAATCAGACACCTTTATTGTTTGCTGTCAAAGTTTCACGTAGCCTAAAAACTCAAAGCTGGTTTACAGAAGGTTTGTCCTGAACATTGAAGCAACTAATATCAGAAGACCGAGAGCCATTTACAAGGGGTGCAACGATACACAAAATTCACGGTTCGGTTCGATACTTTGGTGTCACGGTTCGATAATTTTTCGATACAAAAA